CTTGTGCTGTCTATGTGTTGAATAGGTGTCCAACTAAGAGTGTCCGGGATAAGACACCCGAAGAAGCTTGGAGTGGGAGAAAACCCTCTATCAAATATCTCAAGGTTTTTGGATGTTTGGCATATGCACATGTGCCAGATCCATTGAGAAAGAAGTTGGATGATAAAGGTGAGAAATGCATATTCATTGGTTATAGTGACGCTTCAAAGGCTTATAAACTATACAATCCTGAAACTAAAAAGGTTGTTATAAGTCGTGATGTCACTTTTGATGAATATGGTGCTTGGGATTGGTTAGCTAAAGATGAAAGTTCAGTTGTTATTCCTGCTGTTGAAAATATTGTTGAAGAGCAACCGATTCCAGATAATGTCCAGTCTCCTTCACAGTCAGAGTCGTCAGTTCGACGATCTCAGCGCGAGCGCCACTTACCAGCTCGCTTGCAAGATTATGTTTTGGGTCATGATAATGACTTGTCGGATGAAGAGATTATTCAATTTGCTCTTTTTGCAGATTGTGATCCTTTATCTTTTGAGGAGGCTGCTACAGAAACTCATTGGCTTAAGGCGATGGATGAGGAGATACGTGCCATTGAGAAGAATGGTACCTGGGAGTTAACAGATGTACCTCTTGGGAAGAAGCCAATTGGAGTAAAGTGGGTTTACAGAACGAAATACAAGTCCGTATATCCAACTTGAAGACGGAGACATTTCTTAAATTGAAGAAGGAGATATTGGGATGACCAATATATCCAACTTGGTTTAAAGGAGGCAATGTTATAATATTATTATTATTATTATATTAAACCAAGTAAGATGAGTTAGTTGGTTAAAAATAATGGGAGTAATTATAGGTGCAGTACATGGCCATGATGTTAGCTTTACATGGAGCATTAATTCCTTAATTTTAGCATTTGAGTTATCTTATCTAGTATAAATAGTCTTTGTATTCAAGCATTCTAAATCAATCAAGTGTTAAGCATTCCTCCCCCTCTCTCTCTTCTCAAATATTATATATATATATATATATATATATATATATATATATTATAGATATATTATATTATATTTAATATATATTATATTAAATATATTGTATTTAATATATCTAACACCCACTACAACTAATTAAATCAAGCTTCTCAAGATTAGGAATACTACACACAATAAAACCATTAACATTATCATTAAAAGCACCACCACATGAAAGATAATGAAGTGACATAGGAAAAAATACAAGGAGCATTTAGTGGGAAATCAAAATACACATTGCAGAGTTCCAGGTGCTTGATTGTTGGCACGAGACTATACAAAGTGGTAGCTTATATCGTCTGACCCCTGAGAGATGTAAAGTTCCTCAATGCCATTTCTTGATAGAAAAAGAAACCACTGATCTAAATCGGACTGTGATGATGAAATCTGAGGTTTGTGATGTCAAGACTAAATTTCTTCACAGATTCCATGGCTATTCTTCCCGAGTACGAAGGCGGCGAATGGGAACATTGAGAAGAAGATGGAAGCTGAGGGTGATAAGACTAGCGTAACTACTATACGGAGGATGACAAGAAAGGACCTCGATCGAGTTCCTAACAAAGGAAATGGCCTTGATATGGATAATTACTCTTGGGTTCAAAGCCTTCAGATCAGGAGGTGACTATCACTATTCCTGTACCTCCTGGAACAAAGTCTAGGTTTATAAAAAAGAACCATCTTAAGTTAAAGTTGGACTTAAGGGTCACCCACCAGTAATTATATTGATGCTCAACTCTACAAGCCTGTCAAGGTTGATGATTGCTTTTGGAGCCTGGAGGACCAAAAATATATCCATCTCTGATCTGTGCTCCTAACCAAGAGTGATCAAATGGAATATTAATGTTGGAAATTTTTGGTGAAGGGTGAGCCTGAAATTGATACCCAGAAAGCAGTAAACTATCAGATCTAGACCCTGAGACAAGGTCAACAGTGGAAAATATGATGTTTGATTAGCGACAGCAATCCATGGGTCTCCCTACAAGTGACCAAGTGTAGAAACAACATATCCTGAAGAAATTCATGGCTGAGCACCCAGAAATGGCCAAGTTTAGCTGAGTGCAAGTGTGCTTATGTTGGTTTTGGTGGTGGTGCCTAGCAGTATACATTGCTTTTTTTTTTTCTTTTTTCTTTTTTTTCTTTTTTTTGGCTAAAACCATTTTCCTTCACTGTGGATATGTTTTTTCTTGGAGTTTTTCTTGGAGTTATGTAGTGCAAATATGTTAGTGGAATATATTGCATGACCAAAAAATAATAATAATAACAATATACTTTTAGTATATTAAAAATGTATATTGCTAAGGCGGCGGCGGTCGGCGAAGGAAGAGCGGCGGCGGGAATGTTTTTGGTCTCGGAAATGAGAGGGCGAGAGGAAGGGCGGCGGCGAGTGTGCAGTGGCTGAGGCGGCGGCGGGAATGTTCTGGTTTCAGAAATGAGAGGGCGAGAGGAAGGGCGGTTTCAGAAATGAGAGGGCGAGAGGAAGGGCGGCGGCGAGTGTGCAGTGGCTGAGGCGTCGGCAGAGGAAGGGCGGCGGCTGTCGTCGTTGGCGAAGATGGGGGAGATGGCGGACCGGCGAAGAAGGCGAAGAACTCTCTTGAGGAAATGGGGTTGATTTTTCGCGATTTTGGGCGGAATGAAATTTTGGTGAAATTTTTCTAAGGCTCGGGCGAGTAGGGCTAAATTTTGGGTTAATTATTCGCGGCACCCTCTCGAGACGGGTTCCGCGGAAAGATTTTTTTTTTTTTATTTTTTTTTTTTATTTCGAAACTACTTTCCACCACACCTTTATTTGAAGGGTGTATGAGATTTTTATTTGTTTTTATTTTTCACTACACATTCATTAAAGGGTGTAGTGTAAAGTTATACTCTTATACTCATTTCTGTAGTAGTGCATGATCCACACAAGTGTATGAACCATGATCCATACAATAATTTGTCCAAATTATCAGCCACCATATGACTTACCTCAGAAAATTTTACTGTTATAGTAATGTAGTTCATAAAGTAAGTATCATTATAATTACACTTTAGTTTCATTTGACCATATTGCTCTATTTTTTAGTTTTATTTTCCACGCTTACTAGTTTTATTATAGCAATATCAAAGTATCATTTTAATTCTACTATAGTTTCATTTGAAAATATACATTATTGTATGGGCTCCATCTATTTTGTAGTTTTATTTTCCACACACTAGTTTAATTATAATAATGCTAAAGTATTATTTTAATTACACTCCACGTTCATTTGACAATATATGTTATTGTATGGTTCTGGATTTTAGATTCACTTTCCACAGACACTAGTTTCATTTTAACAACATAAAGTATGATTTTAATTATACTACAGTTTCATTTGACAATATATGTTGTTGAATGAGCTATGTTTTTTAGTTTCATTTTTCACACAGACTAATTTCATTTTAACAATACTAAAGTATCATTTTAATTTTACTACAGTTTATTTGACAATCATAGTCCACATAGCACTATGAACCGTGGTCCACTGTATAACAACTTGACTAATCTCTGATCCAACTTTAAACAGGAATGAAGGATCAGCTAGATCGATCCTTTAGCACTGAGCTATTTAATTTTAAGATAATACTAAGACCAAATGTGAAATGTCATCATCACTCTCATCTGCTGACTTACTCAATAAAGACCCCATCCAGGCCAATTGGGACTTGGGGCTCCAGCAGTCAAAGTATACAAACTTATAATCAAATTAAAACATCATTGCATTGAAGTCATAAGAAACACTTGGCTAAGCACCCACATCATCTGAAGTACAATTAACTTTACCAAAAAAGAGGGTTATTCTTGGACTCTACGGATTGAGGGAGGATACAAAATGCCCTACAAAATAATACTTACTGAACAGTAGCTTAGGATAGGAAATACCATCCATGTCTTACAAAAAGTTTAGTTTCAACTTCCACCACAACCATTGATTACATTTCTATATATTGCATCCTAACCCATGGAGCTACCAATCCGCCGCCATACTAAATTCGTAAAGCTCAGGGTGATCAATCAGGATATGTGGCAACCAGACCTTCTTGGAGAAGAATTGTGCTTTTGGAGATGCATGTGGGAAGCACAACAACTCCCTTGAGATATCAGATCCCATAGTACAACCCTAGCCTTTTGAACAATGTTGAAAAAATCGCTAGGCGCCCTCTAGGCGACTGGGGGCCACCTAGGCGGGCGCCTAGAACGCCTAGGCCGCCTAGCAGGCCGGGCGCCTAGGCGCGATTTTTGCAACAGTGCTTCTGAATAAATACTTTCTCAAGTTGAGGGGATTTTGAGAGCAGTGCTTCCAAAAATAGCATTTCGAGTGTGGATCTATGACATTCAAACTTGATTGTGTTATGCTTCTCCAAAACCTGAATATTAAAGCAACCATCTAGATCCACCTCCAAAACTTTTAGTCTTGAAGCTTTGTCATATATCCCTCCAACTTGACTACAACTCAAGAAGAAATGAAAAACGCGCACAACTCTAAGCTAAGGAACTTTGAAGAAAAAAAAAAAAGAATCATGCATGATTGCCAAATAAATACTCAACCTTTTCTGCATTAATCCCCAGTTCACATAGGTTGAGACATTTATTAATCAATTGCATAGCAACAATGAGCTGCTTCCCACAACCAAAACTTAATTCATACAACTTCATTACTTGCATATATATAATAATCAACAATTGTTACCATTGGAGCTTACACATTTTTCTCCTATCTTTAGTAACATATATAAAAATTGTTACCATTTCACAATTAGTCTATAATTTAAATGATATATAGGTGCTACAAAATCTATTGAGCAAACAAATTTATTTTAAAGGCTGAGCCAGAACTATAGAGTATCACACAAAGTCATAAGTTGCAGTGTACTCCATAAAAAATAAAATAAAAATAAAAATAGAAACAAAAACATTTCTATGTTGCATCCAAACTGGAGCATCTAAATTCATTCTTAAAATTCTGGGGGATCAATTAGTCTATAGTTAAAGTTGTACTCCATGAAGACAATTTGTGCTTTTAGAGATGCACGAGGAAAGTCCAACAATTTCCTTGAGTTGATAAGAGCCAATGCATTGTGGCTATTACGTAATTCTTGAACAACAACTTTGTCTAGTGCAACAGATTTTGAGAGCAGTGCTTTCAAGAAAAGCATTTCATGTCTGGATCCTTTAAACCATTCAATCTTTACCGTATTAAGCATCTCCAAATTCTTATTTATAATGTCTGGACCCTTAAAAATTCTTGATGGACCTTCTTTGTCATCGATCCATTCCTCCTGCAACTCAGCAAGAAATTAATCATATCCTGATACAATTGATCGAGAGGAAATTAAATCTGAAAAGAAAAAAGAAATATATGTAATTAATAAAGTCAAATGTGGAAATGGGCAAAGGTTTGAGTAAGGGGAATTGTTTGGGATGAGGTTTGCTTGGGATGAGGTTTGAATAAGACAAATGTTTGAGAGGAGGTTTTGCTTGGGGAAAAGCTTGGGCATAAGTTTGAATAAGACAAATGTTTGAGAGGAGGTTTTGGGCATAGGTTTGAATAAGACAAAAGCTTGGGCATAGGTTTCTCCTAAAGGGAAAAACTTGGGCTAAGGTTTTTGTAAGGGAAAAAGTCTGGGCTAAGTTTTTTGCTTGCAGGAGAAGAATAGCATTAAATGCTTGGAAATTTCTAGGCACATGGTTTGCTATAAATAGGCAATTCCTTTCATTGTAAATCATACCATCCGTATTCATCCCATCCGAAAAATTCCAATAGCATAGCAAAAATACAGAGAGTAAAATAGAGAGTTATATTTGTAATTCCTATTGTAATATCCTTTTGTCAATACAAAAATTTCTTATTCAAATTGGCTTACTGTGTGTATGATTTATTCTAAATCTTACACTAGAATTTATTCTCAATATTTTCAATTCAAGTTGCTATTGTAATTTAGTATTGTGAACCGTATTGATCCTAACAATATATGGGATCATATATGTCTCACCTGTTTCTCTGCAGCAATCTCCAGTGTGCATAGATTGGGGGATTTTTCAAGCAATTGTATAGCAAGTTTTAAGTGCCTCTCACAACCAAATCTGAAACGATACAGCTTCATTACTTGCACATTTCTTGCCGTTGGGAATGTTGGTGCTCTTTTTGCAGTCTTGAAAAAAGAAACAACAATAAAGAGAAAATTTTAAACTTGAAAGAACACTAACAAGTCAGAATGAATTGAAAAACATTATGTATATTAAATCAATAGCAATTAATGGCGTGTATGTATTCCATTTGCATGAAGCTAAGTAATCTAATTCAAGTACTCAAAAAAAAAAAATCTAATTCAAAGGAATCTTGTGGCGGCTACCCAGCTGTCCCACCAACTAAATTAGATAATATTGTCCTAATATGTGCATTTCATTTGACCATAACTGGGAACTAACAAAGTCAAATGGACAATCGTTTCAAACCTAGAAAAGCCAATAAAACACTCTACAGAGTCAAACTAAGAACCTTGGAACTACCAAGCTAACTGTCCAATCAACTTAGTTGGGACTACGTTGCTTAGCTCTATAATGTGTGTAGTCCCAGCCTAGGTTGTCAATGGAATTGAACCAAGAAGTCGAAATAGATAACCAATTCAAACCAAGAAAGTCAATAAACAATTCTAAGGAGGGTCAAACTTGGAAGCTAGTAGTTACCAAGCTAATTGTCCAACCAACTTAGTGTATTCCATTTGACCCTAGTGACAAAAGACTACAAGGAGGGTAAACCGGAAAGTTCTAGGTTATGATAAAGGACCACAAGAAGGGTAAACACTCCTAAGTTACGTTGTCCATGGCAGGCCAGCCTAAGTTGTTGACAAAGGAGGGTACATAAACTGATCTAGGTTGTCTATCCCTGAAAAATATAGGTTGTGAGGGTCAACCATCCTAAGTTGTTCATCATATCGTTGGAAGGCCTAGATTGTGATAAAGGACCACAAGAAAAGTAAATTGGCCTAGGTTGTTCACCGATCAAAACCAAGAAGACCTATAGTTTAATTGTCCTACCAACTTAGCCCACGAGCCTAAGACCGATTGAAAGGCCAAATAATGGACAACCAGTTCAAAATATATACATTCTGGTTAGAGTGGTTACCAAGGTTAGCCCACCATTGGCATGCATGACGTAAAGTAATTCAAAATAAACTAATAAAGTAGAGATTCTGACCTCTGACAAATCAGCTGACAAGCAAAGATACTTAATTCCATCCAAATGAGCAGTAAACCATCTGGGTATAGAACTAGGACAAAACTGAGAGAAGCTTGTAAGTTTTGGAGCACTTATATCAAGATTCTCAATCCCATCACAAGCTCGGAAAGCCAGCTTCTCTAGTTTAGGAATACTATAGACCATATTTCCTTTAACATTATTATGCTTAAAAGAAACATGCTCCAAAACTAATGAAGTAACGTCAGAAAATATACAACCACCATTTACTGGCAAATCAATAAGGAAACCTTGAAGTTTGAGGTGCTTAATTGTGTGGCACGAGACTATACAAAATGGCAGTTTATATTTCAGGTGTGGAGCACACAAAGAACATATGCTAAGTTCCCGGGCACCATTTCTTGATAGAAAAAGACACCACTTATCTATGTCAGACTGCGGCGGCTGAATACCAAAACAGGAGATGTGCAGACTAAATTTCTTGACGAGTCCAACACGGAGCAAGAGAATATTGTTAATTATGGTCGAGACACGACTTGTCGAGTTATAAAGTTTGCATTCTCGAACGAATTCCCAATCGAATGCTAGTCGACCATGGCGCAACCAAACATCCTTCCAGTGAGTTGAGAGCAAAGCAGTTCTGGCAACGTCTCGAGTGGGCAAACACTCCAAAATTCTTTCCTTTAAATCTACTGGCAGTTCACTTATTAAATCCGATCCGGTTTTGATCCTAGCCATTAAATTGGAAACAAGAATGAGTGCGCTAGCTAGCCAGAGAAATTCGCCACCACTACTACAAGATCGATACTCCAATCCATATAACGAGCTCAAGAAGGAGTTGGCATGCTAGTTTTGTTGGGGTTAGTCGAAATCAAAGGATATTTAGGAAGAAATTAAATAGATTAGGGGAGGAAGATGAAGTATCCTTTCTACAGTCTATCGCCTATCCCTAGATGTTTGAGTTGGGAAGAGTTCTGTCTACCGCATACCGCTTAGGAAGGCATGCAGTTCGTTTAATCTTTTTATTTATTTTTTTATTTTTTAAATAAAGAGATGAATACATAAACTTAGTCTTATGATTGAGTTAATACCCAAAATCGTCTTCGACTATAGTGGTTTTTTTCAATTTCGTCCTAAACGACTTTGGTGACCTAATATCGTCCCAGACTTTTGTGTTTCGCTCAATTTAGTCCTCTATTTGTTATTTCGTCAAATTGGTGTTAAATAAAGGGACAATTCAGTAATGTCAATATTGATCTCTCTTTACTTTCAACCGCTGAAGTGCGAAATTCCTCTTTCTTGTACGAATTACACCCAGAATTACTCCCGGACCTGCAAATCAAATTTTATATTCGCAGTTTTGGGAGTAATTCTGGGAGTAATTCGTAAAAAAAAAGGATTTCGCAGTTCACATGTCTATGAGTAAAGAGATGCCAATATTAAAATTACTGAATTGTCTATTTATTTAACACCAAATGGACAGAATAACAAATGAGGGACTAAATTGAGCAAAAACACAAAAGTCTTGGACTAAATTGAGCGAAACACAAAAGTCTGGGACGATATTAGGTCACCAAAGTCGTTTAGGACGAAATTGAGAAAAATCACTATAGTCGAGGACGATTTTGGGTATTAACTCTCTTATGATTTATGAAAAGATTGTTGTAACAGAGCCCATAGTACTCAAAAAAGAAAAAGGAATAAGGTTCAAATTGGCCACTGAACGTAACCTGAAAATGCAATTAGGCCACTGAACGAAAAAAAAAGTACAATTAGGCCATTGAACACTCAAAAAATGTGCAATTAGGCCACTGAACTCTCCAAACGTATGCAATTTTACCGGATAGCAGGTTACCATCAATTTTAGCAGGTTACCTACTTACGTGGCAGCTTAGTTGGCATTTTTAATAATTTTTAAATAATTTTTAATAATTAATTTTAATAATAAATTTTATAAAAAATTGGAAAAAATTAAATAAAAAATAAAATAAAGTCGTTTTTATTTTTTAAAAATTTTTTTAATAAAAAGTTATTATTAAAATTTATTAAAAATTAATTAAAATTTATTAAAAATGCCAACTCAGCTGCCACGTAAGCAAATAACCTGCTAAAATTGAGGGTAACCTGCTATCAGGTGAAATTGCACATTTTTGAAGTGTTCAGTGGCCTAATTGCACTTTTTTTTCGTTCAGTGACCTAATTGCACTTTCAGGTTACGTTCAGTGGCCAATTTGAACCTTATTCCAAAGAAAAAAACCAAAACATAAATTTGGTTTATTATATATTCAAACTTGTCACTTCTAAATTAATAATTAATACTTTTTTTTCAATCAAACATCTTACTTGTATGGATAGTTGGTGGCTGTTTTTTTTTTTTTTTTTTTTTTTTTTTTTTAAATATATATATATATATATATATATATATATATATATATACTTTTTTTTTAAAAAATAACACAGCAGGAAATTTGTTGGTTTCTGATCACCTGAAAGTGATCGGAAATGACCTTAATTAGGTCGGAAATGCCTGTTCCGACCTCTTTTCCCACCAATTTGGGTATCCAAATAAAACCCTTCTCGCTATTTCCATGAGAAAATGGTCGGAAATAAAGACCATTTTTCTAAGGCCGTCGGAAAAAGTGGTCAAAAATTAGTCGAGCGAGTCCGGATTTTCCAACCACCAACAGTCGGAAATTCCAACCACTTTGGTGGTTGAAAACTTGGACGTAGTCAATAAAAAATTCATTTCCCTACAGAGAGAATCCCTCAGTAGTGAAATGAATATATCTATATATATTGTTGCAAGTTGGTAAGATATTTGCTAAAAAATATGTACACATTTCATATGGTTAATTGAAGATAATTCATTCATGAATATACAATTGAAAATTTTAAACATGTCAAAATATGAAATTCTAGAATTTAACTTCTGATTCAATCTTCAAACTATTGTCTGCATACTGCCACCAACATTGAACCACAGGAGGAACCGAGGAAGTGTGCAGTCTATCTATGAGCTCCTTTTTAGCCTCTTCGGTTGGTTTCTGGCAAAATCAACAGAATATAGGCTAAATGCCTAATCAATTAGCCTAAATGCCTAATATATTACAAGTCTATGACTATTGCTGGTAAGGAGATGTGTTAGAAGGTTGTCTATTATATGCAGGAGACAAAGGACTTATAAAACAATTGTGCTAGAGGCAAATAAATCTTCTCATTTACCAAATAAACCAACAAGCACACAACATATATCCCATGAAGGGGAAAAAACCACTTTCATACAAGATACCCTTTTCATTACCTAAATCATTAAAATCACAAGCCAAACTAATCAAATGATCACAATACAATGAACCTATTAGCATGTAATGCTTACTCCAGTTAGACAACCAAAACTTCCTCAAAACACTACAAACAAAATCCGGGATTGATAGTGTTTTAGACCATCAAGTGATGCATTAGAATCAAAAGCAGACAACACAACCTACAGCAAGAGAACTAATGTAACTATGGACAAACCTCATGAAGCTTCTTTCTTCTTCCTTTTGATTCAATAGGAAAGCATCTCAGCATGAAGAAAAAAAAAACATTAGTGTTAGTACATACTCGGTATTAGTAATGACTCATATTTAAATACTGAATAAAATAACAATTTTGACAATAGATATTGGTCCGGTTATTTACCTTCCCCCATAGAGCAAGAAACCTAATGCTGCCACAAGGTAGTCTACATGCCAAATTACAGTATGAATTAGACCAAAATGCAGTAGAAATCAAAGCCAATTTGATGATTAACACATCTATTAAAATTAAAATAGCATTACGAGCATAGCCATATCAAATAACTACTTAGAACTGAGGAGGAATTAATGAATTAAACAATGAACAAATAAAACAACTAAAATAACTTTGTCTTGAGAATGCCAAGCTTCAGCATCAATACAATCAGTCCTACACCACACTCCATAATGGTCAGATGCATTTATATTGAAAAAAAAGTATATAAGTATAATCTTCCCAAAAAAGGAATCTAAAACCTTAAGCCCCATACTCAGCCATGGAAAGAAAGATTGGTGCTAAACTTTCATTAGAAATCAGCTTAAGAGCCACAAAAGGCATATGCTTGAAAATGGAAGCCTGGGTTATCAACTGTCAAGATATTTGTAGAAGATAAGTCACAAACTCACAATGCAAGGAAGTGCATGAAAATGGGGTAAGATTTTCCCTAATAATATATATTATATATTATATATTAGTGCCTTAATTAAGTAGTGCAAGTTGACTAGGCTTATTAAGTGGTCTGGTTGGACTTAATAACTAGAAGTTGTTAGTCAACCAGACTCTGTGCCTAATATAATCCTGGATTGATGGGATACAGGATGATTGATGTTAGCACATTCAGTTATGGTACTCAGACTGCTCAGTAGATACCAATACACCCTCTAGGATTATATTCTGAGTCAGGTCTGAGGCTGATTGATGATTCTGAGTCAGGTCTGAGGCTGATTGATGTTAGCGCATTCAGTTATGGTACTTAGACTACTCAGTAGATACCAATACACCCTCTAGGATTCTGAGTCAGGTGAGGCAAAACATGGCTAACGGTCTACCGTTAAGAGGCAACATAACAGGAACATCAACTATGGCTGGAGATCAACACGGCTACGCTTCCGCTATCATACGAGATCAGGTTTCTCGTATACTGTTATTCATTATAGTTAGACTATTTAGATCTAACATTTGGTATCAAGAGCCTTTATAATCTCTGCCTAGTTGATTATTTTGCCTAAAATCAACAATCAATTTGAATATATATACATTAAGTTCTTGGTATATATTTTGTATATTAATTCTATGAAATATGCTTATATCTATCTGATTTTTTGATATAATAATTTGTGCATATTTCGAAAGGATTATATTTGGACTGCTGGAATATTTCCAGCATTAATAAGCACGATTTTAATTTCTTTTGAATTATGAAATTATCTATCGTGATCGGAACTTGCCATGACCGGATTTTGGCAGGAAAAATGGGGTGCGATTCATTCTCTGGTTTCAGTCTCCGATTTGCGTTTTCCGGCGACTCCTACTGGTAGGAAACGACGGCTATATATTAAAAAAAAAAGTTTCGTCACTTTCTAGTTTCCCCTCCGATTTACCGTCCGGCTACTGCTGCTGCTTCT